GACCACGAGGTACTTGGCCTCTTAATCTCCCGCCCATGAGGACGCCCTGACCCACAGCCATGGTGTTCTCCCTCGCCGCCCACACGGCGGTGAGGGCTGGACACTGAGTCAGGGAGCCACGGAAGAACTGGCGCGTTCGAAGGGTGGTGCTGGAGAGGCGCGTTGGAAGGACCCTGGACAGACTGCTCAGAGAACAGACAGACCTGTCCTGGCAGAAGGACGGCCAGCGTGCTCCTCAGAGGCAAGGACGGTCAGGCTTCATCTCACCCACTTTGGACATGTTGTCAGGAGAGACCCGTCCGGAGAAGGAGCTCATGCTGGGTAAAGTGGAGGGGGCTGGCAACGAGGAGGGCCATCTCCAGGAGATGGACAGACCCCCAGGCTGCACCCTGGGCCCAGGCTCGGGAGCGATCGTGGGGATGCCGCAGGACCGGGCAGTGCTGTGTCCTGTTGTGCACAGAGGTCGCTGTGGGGGGAGCCGACTGAGAAGAACACGCCCACAATGTGTGAAAGGTGCCCAGTGATTGACATGCCCGGCTCGGGGTGGACTGGTCACATTCAAAGGCTCAGAACAGTGAGGCTCCCACAGGACTGGTCCCCACACACAATGTCGGGGAACCACACAGGCAGGTCTGCAGCTCAAGGAGGGGAGAGGTGCTGCCCAGCCCTTGTCACATGTGGACCTGGGGGACGTGGTGCTGAGGGAGAGCCCCTCATGAAGGGCGGCGCTGCAGCAAAGAGGCCCAGAGAAGGTGCACACAGAGGTCTCTCTGTGAAGGTTAGGGGGCCGATTGCTACTTGGGCAGGGGTGGTGGAGGCGTGTCTTGCTTGACTGAAGGGCTGGGGGATGTCCAATGAGGAGGAGGCCACACAGACTGTCGGGAAGGGAGACCCTGGAAGAGCTCTGGAGTTAGGGCAACTGTGGTCAGGACCGCTGCGTGTCCAGCCCCGCTGTCACCACGAGGGGCCGCATTGACGGGACCCGAGCTCAGCAGGAGCAGGAGGTGGGGGAGTGAGACTATCCGCTGTGACGGAGGCTTTCCTGCATCGGGGCGCACAGCCGAGGCGCGCTGCAGACCCCCGTGGGAGTGGTGGAAACAGCCCCATCGTACCGCACGCGGAGGACGCGGGCCCTTGGCATGACGTGCTCTCCGGCAGGGGTTTTGGAAGCTGTCAGAGGCCGTCTACCGGGCTTTGTGGGGCCCATGGAAGGGAAGGACCAGAAGGAAGGCCCATTGCTCCAGTGGTCCGATGGACAGTGCACACACACACACACACACAGACACCCCAAAGGCAACGTGGTCTCCATGGCCCTGAGACCAGACCTAGATGGTGCCCGGCTCCCACTACTAACTGCTCAGAAAGGGACCCGTGAGAAGGGCCTGGGCGAATGGGAACCAACGTGGGAGAGAACAGAAAGGAGCAGGCAGGCGGCTGGAGGCAGGGAGCCACCTGAGATGAAGGCCCTGCGTCCCCCTTCAGGCCTGGAACCGAGGCGCTCCAACGACAGGGAGCCACCTGCAGGGGAGGGGGCAGGGCGGGGGCTACATCATCTGGTGTCAATTGGGACTTGAGAGGATTAAGACTTAAGGGGTGGAGTCTAGTCTGTCAATCAGGTCACAGCCAATGAGGCCTCTGTGTGGGCATGGCCTTGTCCTGAGGATTCTGGGAACTCCTGTATTTCTTCCTTGGAGGCGGGAGACGATCTCTCTCTCTGCTCACTTCCTGAGACACGCTCTACTGACAAGACACGTGGCACTAAGCTGATAGACCCCGTGCCCTGGGGCCTGGAGGAGCCACATGAAGCCCCTGCCAGCGTGGAGACTTTGCACCCACTGGCCTGTGATCTTCTGCATTCGGCGTCATTGCATGTGTTTCGTGAGGACGTTATAGATTGATATCGGACATATGGGCTAATATTGGACTTACGGACATGATCTGAATTAGGCTGGGATGGTTTCTCAATATTCAATTGCTCTTGTATATAAAGCTCTTTCCTATACACAGATCAGTGTCTCCATGATTTGTTTCTCTAGTTCACCTGTACTAACGCAGGCAGTCACCCCGGGAGGCAGCCCGTGTCCAGGGCAGCGTGCAGGAGGCTGGACAATGCAAAGGACAGGTGGGAACACAGGGAGGAAGCAGGGGAGGGGATCACGATCGTTGCGGGAAACCCCGATTTGCTCTCTCAACTTCCATCCACACCACAATTTAAAAGAGAGGGGCCCCTGCAGTTCGGAGATGTTGGAACATGTGCAGTTAATGACACCACCCTTGCTCACGGTTGGAAATGTGTATCACTGTATTTGCACCGTAGGTATTCATGCTGGATAAGCAAAAGGCAGATCTTGCTCCTCCGTAAGCTGCTGCTGGAGACAGCGGGTAGCAGCAATTGCTTAAAAACAGGTGAGCCGCCGGCTCTGCGAGACAACTCCCCTCTGATTCAGAGACAAATCAATTAAAAAGGGGGAGAGGGACTTGCGCAGCGAGGGGCTGGAAAGGCCAACTTGCAACAGAGGAGGGTCTGTCAGGACCAGGCACGGTCCCGCTGCAGTGACTGCTCATGGCACAACCCAGTCTTTGCAGTGTCTGCCCCTGCTCCGCTCCTGGGGCCCGGGTAACACTGCCTGCTCCCCATATCTCTGTCCCCACCTCCAACCCAGGACCAAGAGAAAAGCAGACATGCTCGCTCTCAGGTACCCCACCCACAGCCCACGTTCCCCGGGCAACAGCGCCAATCAGCTCCGCATCACAGCCACCAAGCCATGCCAACTCCTGGGCCCGCAGGACAGAGCAGGGCTGCCCGGCAGCCTCTCCATGTTGCCTCTGTTTTCGATGTGAACTGTTGAACTTGCCGTTAGCAGCCCAAGACGTAACCCATGGTGCCACCGTGCGCCCGTGCACGATGGGACAGCCTGTGCCCTGTTTGGGGGTGGCAGCATTGGTTGGCAGAGCACTTACCTTGGGGCCCAGCTGTCACCCCTCTCATTCTCTGAGCCTGCAGTGTGTGGTCCTGCCTGGGCAGCTCTTTCTGAAGGGGAAGCACCCCCCACACCCCATTCTGGGCTGCTCCCCAGGAGCAGGCCATCCACACAGACTCCTGGGGTGTCCACTCAGACTTCCACCAACCCATGAGCTGGCCAGCACACTGGCTTCCGCGCAGACACGGAGGCCCAAGCCTGCCGTCACCTGGCGGTGCCGAATCAGAGGGATCTCGTGGGCCGGACAGCAGATGGCCACGCACCATACTGCCAACTGGACCATGGCCAGGTTGTACTCTGGACACTGGTGCCCTCATGCCCAGGGCCCTGGTCATAATCATCCCTGGAGGCCACCTCATGAGGCTCTATCTATACCAGGAGGCTCCACTCCGCTTGCCCGCCAAGACCCTACTCTCCATGAGGGCCCCCCAGGCCCCATGAGACCCCACCTGGCCCTCCCACCTGATGGGGCCCCACCACCAATGAGGCTCCACCACCTACCCCATGAGGCCCCGCCCCGCCCTGTGAGGCCCCGCCCACACGACAGGGCCACACCCACCAACTAGGCCCCGCCTGCCCGATGGGGCCCCGCCCACTCAATGCGCCCCGGCCCTGCCCATCAATGAAGCTCCACCCTCTACCCCTCGGTCCCCCAGGCCCTCCCACCAGCAGAAGGGCGAGATGGGCCTCTGTCTTCGAGGAGTGGACCAGGCCGAGCCCCCACCCGCAGCCAGTGCGGTTCTGGGGTGCCATTGCGCGCAAAGGGCGGCGGTCCGGGTCGACCGCGGGTCTCTGGACCCTCCTCTCGCCAGGCCAGGGGCCGTGTCCCCTCCACCCCACGGGCAGACCCCCGCCCCCCGAGTGAACCAGGCGGGGGAGGTCACTATTTCAAAGGGGACTTTATTTCACTCCTCGGCCGCCAGGCCCCACCGGCGGCCCCACGAACACTGGAAACACCGACGCCGCCTTCGATCCGTTTCTTCGTTTGGTACAAAATGGTACAAACAACAATACAAAAGTTGTGCTGTCGACGGTTACAAAAGGAGTCGGCGCGGCGGGCGGTCGCGCGGCCCCCAGGGCAGCAGCCTCTGCATGCGGCTGCTCCGCCTCCGCCTTTCCAACAAACATGCAAACGGAAAAGCCGGTGCGGGGGCGCGACCCCGCCGCCGCCCCTCTGCTGCACACCGGCCTGGGCTGCTGGCCGGCGCCTTTGTCCG